AAAAAAAATTATAACTTAATTTAAATTTAATAATGAAATAATTTATTTTTGGTTTAATAATATAACATTTTATAAAGAAAATAATTAAGTATTCTGTTAGAACTCAATGATTATCCTAATTATATTTTAGATTTTTATATTTAAAATAAAATTTTTATCTTGTATTTGATTATGTGTTTATGCAATTAGTTACACGAATTCAGATATGGAGCTTTAATAAGTTGTACTTACGCACAATCTACTGTAATCTTGAGTGTTAAGTAATATGCATTAATAAATAGTACTTTACGCATAAAAAGTAGTTTTTAACAGTTTTTGTCAAATGTTTTATAATATAGTATAGATTTTTTTTTTAAAATTTAATTTAAGTTTAATAATGAAATAATTTATTTTTGGTTTAATAATATAACATTTTATAAAGATAATAATTAAGTATGTTGTTAGAACTCAATGATAATCCTATTATATTTTAGATTTTTTATATTTAAAATGAGATGTTTATCCTATATTTGATTGTGTTTATCTGCAGTTAGTTACACGAATTCAGATATGGGATGAAATCATTTAGGGATGAACGAATTTAAGAGTTTTAAGAGTTTTTAAGAGTTTTAGCCAAATGCTTTATAAGATAGTATAGATGTGTGTGTGTGTGTGTGCGCGTCTGTGTGTGTGTGTGTGTTTGTGTGTGTGTGTGTCTGTGTCTGTCTGTGTGCATGTGTGCATGCATGCATGCATGCATTTATGTATATATGTATATGGGTATGTATCGATGTATATGGGTATGTATGTATGTATGTATATGGGTATGTATGTATGTATGCATGCATGCATATATGTATGTATGTATGTATGTATGTATATGGGTATGTATGCATGTATGTGGGCAGGTTTAAACGAGAAGTTAAACATTTTGTGAGAATGCGAAAAGTTAAACGTATCATATATGATTGCACGGATTATACACAAGTTTAATCATATATGTTTAAATACATGTTGCATTGACAACAAATAGATGTTTTAATCATATATGATTAAACAAACTCAAGGAAGTGTAATCATATATGAAATCAATGTTCAAAAAGGCGCGATATGGCGCAAGACGCGTCTCCGACATTACGAAATGGTCCATAGCGTTTATATAAGACGTGACTCACGCCATGACATCTTGAGGCACCCCGCGGCGCGTGTTTTTTGTAACACGTGATTTTTTTCCAATTTTTTTTTATCTTTTATGTTTTTACACTTTTAAATTTAGATTTTACTTTTTTATAGATCTAACTAATCATATCACTCACAGTTTTACAAATTCATAAATGTTACAGACTCACGGTTAAAATGAAGTTGTAAAATTACCTTTATAAGTTCTATTTTAAATATTTAATCAAAAACCTATTTTTATAATAATAATCTATATGATTTTTCTTTTTCTAATATTAATGTACATTTAATATAATTATTTGATTAGATAATATATCGAAAATATATTTCTATATATAATTTTCTATATATAATTTTCTATATATGATATACGAATTTGCCGTCATATATCACGTCTCAAGAAACGTCGCGTCCTCCCGTGGCGTGTAAGGCTTGAGGCTTGACCTCGCTGAACCTTGTATGATATTGAGACTTCTTGCATTCTCACAAATGTTTAGCTTCTTGCATAATCATTCCTCTCTCTCTCTCTCTATATATATATATATATATATATGTGTGTACATACATATACATACATTGCAAATAATATGGAAACCGTTTGAAAGTTAAGAACCATAATTGCAAATCATAGGCAGTTTCTATATGATTTGTCTATATATTGCAAATAATTTGGGTTGTAGTTTTGGTTGGGTTGAGATTTTTCAAACCGCAAACATTAAGTTGGGTTGTTCAAAATGTCTTCAATCTGGCCAACTCAACCCATGAGCAGCCTAATGCCAGATTAGGTTATGTAAACATACTAATTGTTAATCACTTGGATTGTAATGATCAAGCCTTAGAGTGGAAAATCTCATTTATCCCAATTTCGTATCTGAGTGCTGCCAAAGCCCTTATGACCATTGAGGTTCACCTGCGATGACTTTCGTGATTGCTCGGGAATTAGTCAATACGTGTGTAAGTTGACCTAGAACCCATGGTTATTAAAAAAAAACCATACTAACTGTTCAAAAATAATAATTATACGAGCCAAACAAGAACATACAACACACATCGACTAGTTTCTTTCAATTAATCTTCCCTCGTGCAATAACAATCAAATTCGAAACAAGTTAGTTCTTAAATCAAGATTCGTTTTTTTTTTTTTTTGTATTTGAATTTCCATGACCCATATGCATGCCATGTTAGATGGCTGAATAAACTAGAGATGATTTCAACTTCGAAACTGTTAAAATCTCACATCCGCTTAGATTATCATTTTATTCAAAAAGGCTCTTTTGGAAAGTAAAGAAGTCGACTTCCACTCGGTGAAAAATGAAAATGTAAAAGGGATAACAATATACAATCTTCTTCATTCCCTGTTAATACTCAATGGAGTAACTACTTGGTTTCAACTACAACTTCCTAGGGTTGCAAAAAGCCAACCTCACTAGACATTTAACAAAGATCAACATAACCCGTAAAAATAATACGCTACCATTAGTAACGTGTGTAAGTATATATGTTTCCAAGGTAGGATTAAGATTTCGGTTGGATGGATGGTTATGATCAAGAAAGCAGGATAGGTCCATTCTCGGCGGCAGTCCTAGCATGTTCTTGACCACTGTTATGCCTTGTTAATTGGACGTCACGTGCGAAATGAGTTCTTGCTTTTGCATAAGGAGCGCCTCTTGCTGTTTATCATATAGAAGATGAATCATGAGAAGGGGTAACTTCTACTCTGTTCGTTGTGAACATAATAAATGCAACATTTGATCTGACATAGTTTTATGAAACATGTTTAGATATCACTCAGATATCTTGAACTACCCCTCACAATGACATCATGAGGAATCTTGTGGATCAAAACAGCGCTATCAATACTTTTGACGAGTAAAAATGTAATTCGATTGACACTTGGCGGGAAAAAAAGAGATGCTGCATTCATTTTTCGGTCATCTTAAAAGGGAATTGTTGTAGTTACGGGATGGAGGGAGTATGTGCTAAGTCAACAAATGTTTTATGCCTCCATGACAAAATTGACTTACGATTAGAGAGTAAAATGCATCAAAATCCAACCAAGTTTTCCTTGATTCTCATGTAACAATTTTTTTTCCTCGGTTTCAAAATTTCCTATTTAATATAACAAAAATTCAAAATTTCCAATTTTCTTCTTCTTATTTGAGAGATGACTTGCCGATCTTGTAACACTTAATAACGTGGATGTCAATTTTCGAATTTTTTGTAGCCGTTTCATAAACGGGTATCCATGCCATCAAATTTTACAAGCACAAATCAAAATGGTAAAAAATAGAAAATTTTGAAAGTTTGTTACATCAATTTAAGAAGAAAAAAACCAAATAAGAACTAAACTTTTGTTGCATTTTACCCTTAGAGAAATATCTAAAATAATTTTTCATAATGACAAGAAATTTCATAGGCCAAGGTCAGTACAACTAGTACATTGCAACGACGACAATGGGCAAAAAGGGCGAGTCTAGCTTTGAACATTTACAAAAAAGTGAGATGTTACAAGTCATTGACATCCTAAAACATGATGCATTGCAATTTTGATAGGATGGAATGTGATTCATATGCATGTCATGTATAAGGGGATGGGGATGGGGATGGGGATGGGGATTAGATAATGCAACACAGTTCTTCAAATCACATATGTAGAAGATTTTTTCCTTTATAGGGGAGAAACTATGACAAATTAGTGCTTGCATATCTTACCAGCAATTTTCTGAGCTCGGAGGATGTTTTGACGCCTTTTCCACCAACATGTCAAGCAAGTGGCAATCAGAAGAAGCACTGCACATGACCCTAAGGCGATTCCGATCTTTGCACCAGCAGTAAGGTGGGGTCCACAAGTTGGTAATCCAGGTATCCCACAAAGACCTTTATTATCAGTAAAACTGTACACGCCCACAATCAATATTTGAGCATATTCATTTAATATATCAATGCCTACTGTTTACTATCAATTGTCCCTTAGTAAGGGCCCAGGGGGGCTGCCTGACTGCTTCTATAGTGTTTGGAAGCTCAATCCCGAGTCAAAATTGTAGATCATGTTAAGTTGACACCAATGCTATGAAAAAGGAGATGCATGTTCTTTTTTGAATTTCAGATGGGATGCTGACAATATAAACTTTTGAGAACTTCTACCAGCTACAAACAAAAACACCAACTTTTGATGTAATATGGCAAAGGTTCCCTTTTAAGAGTTTAAGATCAATATACATTCAAGTATTAGATTTGAAATTCAAAGCAGAATCGGTACATCTTTTTTAGGGACGAGGGAGTGCAAGAAAATTAATCTCAGAATGAATTACATTTTTCATCCGTGGTTTGGTGATTTTGACGGATCCTGTCCCTATTTTTAGGAGTATTAAGATCTAGGACTAATAACCACTATGGGTTATTGAAGTGTTCCTTCTTTAGGAGTATTAAGGTCTAGGACTAATAACCACTATGGGTTATTGAAGTGTTCCTTCTTTAGGAGTATTAAGGTCTAAGACTAATAACCACTTGGGTTATTGCACACAGGTTTAGGCTTAGGGGGGTGTAGTGGAAATCTCATCTTCACCGAGTTCGAATCCAGGCACTACCAAAGCCCTTGTGGCCATGGAGGTTCACCTGCAATGACTCCAAGCCATTCTTGGTCGCCAAGAAACCCACAGTTACCCAAAAAAAAAGTCTTAAGACTAATATAACCAAAGTACAACTAGAGAGAACTAAAAACATACTTGAAGCTTGCTCGGTGCAAGAGCCTTCCCCCTAGTGCAGCAGGGACTCTTCCAGTGAGGGAGTTGCTGTTGAGATTCCTACAACATGAAGACGTACAATAACACAAAATGAATAACGATGCAGCAAAATATTGTCCCATATGTGTTGTAAAATGATACTAATGCTTGCTTGCTTTTCTAATTGTAGAGTAAACCATTTATATCATGCAAACACATGAATTACAAATCATGGAACTGTAGTGTTGCTGTTAGGGTCTTGTATCAGACCTATATTCCAAAGTATGCTTCATATGTTTATACTTGTGTTGTTTTGCTGCTCGTGAAAAAGACGAAGAAAAAGAGTGAGCATCTTACAATATCCGAACTGATGTCAAGCCACCAAGGCTTTCAGGAATAGATCCATTAAAGAAATTGTATGAAAGGTCCCTGCCATGCAAATTCAGGTTCAGATAACACATTCATCATGTAGCTGCTAGCTAAATAGTTGAAACAATTACAAGTTGCATGAAAGCACAAAAAGTCAAGGTGATTTTGAACAGTCTACTGAGACGAGGAAAATGTTTTTGACTAATTGGATTCTCTTAATATCATGTAATAAGTATGCTTTCCTGGAAATGCATCAAGTACACAATTAGCTTTAAATTTGGATGGGTCGAAATGAATCAGAATTAGAGCTATTTTTGCATGTAATCAAAATTGTAGCATGTAAATCTATGTCATGCATAAGTTCTCTCATTCTCTCCATTTCTTTTGTTCTTTCTCTACCTCTTTCTACTTATGACCCCAATTTCTTGCCTTATACAATGTTTTCCAAATACTGTTCCAGGATCTACGTAATTCGTTTTTTATGGCACTTAACATCTCTTCTCATAATGAATATATTATGTCAGATCAAATTAATTTATTATGTATAATCCCCTGGAATGAAGGTGAACCAATAACAATGCTGATCTACATTAGCTTATGTGGGAGGAGATCTCTCGAAGAGTATTTAGTGCGAATTTCGGTCAACTTTCCGTCATCTTTCTTTGGCTGAGTGGCATGTATTTCCACGGTGCTCATTTTTCCAATTATGAAGCATGGCTAAGCAATCTGACTCATATTGGGCCGAGTGCCCAGGTGGTTTGGCCGACTCCACACATTCTGCCATTCCGTCCACCCCCAAAGAATGAAAGTTGGAAAACAGGACTTAAGAAAAATGACACTATGTACATGAAGTAACTAAATAATACAGAAATGCAAATCCTGAATTGTAAAGTTTGTACAAATTGGAAACATTGACAAGGAGCAGTAGCAATAAAAAGCCTATTGTGCTGGGACTTTTTGAGGTAGGCTAAAATCTATGCATATTTTGAAAATCCCAATTCTTATGTTTGCTTATCCGTAACAAAGATAAGCAAATATACGAACTCAGGTATCCACAAAACGACAGAAGCATGGTGATCTATAGAGTAACAGAAAATTCAGCATGTGCTCCAAATAAAAAAGTTCTCTTGATCGAGCAGCTGATAGGCAAGCAAACATGTCTGAGCAGGGTTGCTCCTACTAAATTATACTCACAGTACTTCTAAACTGGCAATTGTTCCAAGTGAAGAAGGAATGTGCCCCTTGATGCTATTTTCACTCAGGTTCCTGCAAATGGACAAGAGAGATGATGGGAAGTCAGGACTCAGGCCAATGATTTTACCCAGTCATCTATTGGTGTTCATGTAGGCATGTGGTACCATGTGTGCTTTTCTAGTAAAGAAACATTGATCATTGATAGTATGGATGTCTTTTCTTTGTTTTTCCTTTGAGTTTGTATATGGTGGGTTTCTCAATAAGATCAATTTTTTTTATTGCATGATGGACTCCCCTGAAAAACATCGGCGATAGAAAAAGAGCAAATTTTCATTGTGAACAGCAGATGATGTGTTTATGAGATGGATGGAGCCATTTAAACTTACATATTTTGTAGATGACTCAGCTTGGATATGTCAGCAGGCAAAAACCCTCTCAAACCTTGGTTGTCAAGACCTCTGATACCACAAGTAAATACAGAGTTAGAATTGTTTATAAGAAATGAGAATACCATCAGCACAAAGATTTAGCGGACGAAAACAACAGATTTCTAAACACACTTGAGTTTTTTTCTGTTCTTTTTCGGGAGTAATGGTGGACGGTGGTAGTGAAGCATGGGGAGGGATGTCTTTGTATGCAACCTTTCAGTTGCATTCTTGAAGTGGTTGTTTCTGGGACACTCAAAAACAGATGTGTAATCTGTAGTGATAAGAATATCGGCTATGAGTTAACAATTGCAGAGGTGGAATTCACCAAAACTTTGATGCATTTTTGTTTTTTAGGTATCACTCACAAGGATTTCTGTCTGAGCAAACACACAATTTATCTACAATTTATGTGATAGTTTGTATAATAAATGGTATAATTCATATATTAATTATTGGTTAGAATTCTTTGATCACATTATCGATGCATTTTTTATGTCACCTCACATCCCCCATGTTACAAGAATATTGGCTGAGTGGGGAAGTTTAAATGGAGAATAAGCAAGAAGAAAGCAGCCATACATTCAAAAATTATCAAGATCATGTAGCGATACTTTCACATCAACATAAAGGATTAAAGGTTCCAATGTATCCATATGTTCTCACATGAACAATAGACTCCCAAGTGTGCATTCATCAGAAGATCAAGATAATCTCGCATACTCGTATCAAAAAATACGAAGGCATGTGCATCATGGATCAAAAAACCCTTTTCAGAGTGAACATAACAATGCATTCAATCAAATTGTCAGAGAGTGAGTTCACGAAGGCAGGCATGTTGATACAGTGAAACTCAATTTTGCAAGCATTAATACTTCTGGGCATATCAGCCAATACCTACTTTGGGCCATTAAGGATAACTTCTGCTCAGGTCCAAGCACATGATTTACCAGGCATTGTAGCAAGCTAAGTTATAGTGCTAAAATTCATATGCACACCACATCATCAATTTCGTGGAGGATGAAAACAAAAAAAAAATGTTGTGCCTGGAAGAGAATCTATAAGATTCTGAAGTGAACAAGATTTTCTGTAACTTCTGGATTTTCACTTCCTAATCTGAGTATTCATTTCTTATCTTAACCACATCACTTGATATTTTTAACTTTCGTCCTAAGTTTTCAACCTTCATATAAATACCTCTCCTTCAACCTTTAGAGCAAAGAAACCTTTTGGACTGTAGGAACTTTTGATCAAAGGATTTTCTTGATCTCAGAACTTCATTTCCAAAATGAACAATGTGACACAACTGCCTCCTTGTTCTTCATTTTAGTTACACAAATGATTAATTGTATGCACCAAGGCCACCATAGCGGTTGTTACATGATGAATGTCTAAGTGTATGGCTTGCTCTAAGGAAACAATTATACCCGTGTCTATCTTGTCATTCTTTTGTTTGATCTTTGGAAAAATTTCTTAATTAGCAGATCTTTTGTAATAATGACAATTAAAGGTGCTTAATCAAGCAATGATTTTATTGCATTAGTGCTTACTCCAAAGAAGGTTTATATACGCCAATGCAGTATATTAGATATTATGGTGGAAGTAAATGAAACAAATAGACCATGCCAAGGGTAAAATTACTCTTTATTTGTGTGACCATGTTTGTGGTTGAACACCCAAACCACTATAATTACAAAGAGAATGGGTGAGGTTTAATAAATTCAATCTATTTGCTTTCTTGTAATACAATCTTGTTAATACATCAATTGTTCCCTATGAAGACAATCCAACTTGCCCTATCCAGGTTGAGTTGGTTTCATAAATTTTATTTTGTTGCAGATTTTGAATCAATATGACAAATCATATCAGAAATGTCAACTGAAGCATAAGACAAACTTACAGTCCATCAATGACCCATTTACTTTTAGCGCTATCAAATTGACAATCTACTCCACTCCATGGATGCTGCTGTGGAACACATGGATCGCCATTCCAACCAAAACGAAGAGGAAGACCCAGGGCATTCTTTAATTTCTGCAGAGCTCTTACTACAAATGAAAAAGTTTATTTCATAAGAATTCCTTCTGAGGCTTTAAATTCATGAATTTTTTTAAATTACTACTCAACAACCAAATATGTCAAGCTACGTATGACCAAATAAAAAGCAGAAAAATTAGCCCCCTTATTATCAATATGCAATACGTGGCAATTCAGCTGTTTATTTGCCAACAAAAGTGCTCAAATTAACAAACTTTAGTTGGCTAAATGGAGCGTTTCAAGAGCTAAACTGGGCTTCACAGTGTTGCTCATTAACACAACCTTGAGCTTATATGAATTTTCCTGTAAAAATCATCTAATTTTAGGGGTTTCCCCTACCAGACGTGGGTAAGAAAATGTTTAGCAGTTTCCGGGTCTCTTTTCCGCAGGTTCTATTGATAGAAAGGTAAGGTTGTAACTAGTCTATGCATGAAGAATATTATCTCCTATCAGTTGCCAAGTTTTTTGCTTCTCGTCATATACATGATTTTCATACTACATTGGAAGAATGATCCCAAAAATCAAGTGCCTGCTAGATGTTATTGAAGTAAATATATAATTGTTGTTAATGACAAACAAAAAGCTAAAACTACAGTTGGAGTCTATGAATGGACATGAGTCATTTCGATGTAACAAAATGACCTGTGATTGATTCTTCCACTAGACTCCATATGTTCTAGCAGAGAGTGGTATCAACCCAACTAAAGTGGCATCAGTTAACATCTTAAATCACTTCTAATTTCCCTTTAAAGAGTTAGACTTATTACAGGGAAACCATTGATTTAAGTCACACTAGGTGATCGCAATGTATATGTATCAGCAACTCTACATGCAGAACAATCGTGTACAGCTTTTTCGCCAAAATTTTAGTGCCTGTTGGGAGAGATGCTTTTGAATATGAATTGTCTGGTTAATGTGATATGATCAGAAAGGAGAAGCACTTGACTATGGTGGCAAAGCATGGATCAATTTAGCATAAATTAGCTTTTGTTGGACGTTCGATGCTACCATGAGAAAAGCACGTTCAAGCATGACTTGTTAAAATCTCAAGGATGTAACATGGTTTAGAACTTGATTAGCCCTATGATTTTCAAACAAACAACATAGTTGGCATGGACTACAGTTGCAATAACTTATTGACCATTTGTCTTTTGGTTTCATTACTGTCGCGAAGGATTGGAAATGAAACATGGAGATTCAGAAAATCATTAAGGAAATAGACAAGTAAGGTAGCTATAAAAGGTACCTTCGTCAATTAAGGTTTTGGACTCAGCTCTGACAATTTCGAAGATCTCTATGGCACTTATTATGGCATGACTGCCTTTTACAGGGTGCATACTTATTGTCAAACTCCTTCCACTAACAGCAACTGTCGTATTCAACACAAGAGCACTATTTATATCTCCACTCATTTTGACGATATCAATACCTTGATATTCAGTATCACCGTTTATTAGGATGTCAAACACCCGTTGTCCCTCCCCTGTGACTGATGGATCAATCTCCGCAAAGTGCAGCCAAATGGAGTAATTTCTATTTGGATCCACATCCATTGTGTACGTTAGATCAGGCTGATTATCAGTGCTAACAAGCGCAGTCTGGTAAAGAGCTTCCGGGTAATAGTTTGGTACATTTGAGGATAACTTAATGCTGTTTTTTGTGGCCAAAGCACGATCAGACTTTTGGCCGAAAGTAGTAATGGAATTCCAGAATCGGTCTCCACCCCAGTGGTTCCCACTGTAATCCACATCAAATTTTGGACTTTTAGCACCACAGCTGAGTCTTTTATGAGTTCTTAGAATTGTTCCTCGGCCCCATCCTGAGCCGTAGTTGTATGCATTATTGCCAACTTGAAGAACTTCGATGGAGAGTACAGCTGGGTCTCCATGACCAGTGCTGTGAAAGCAAATAGAGGCGGTTCCGTCTTCAAGAAACACAAGGGCCTCGACAAAGGCTTGCTCATCATCATGGTTACTCCAACCTGATGACAAAGAGTAAACTACGGTCCCTTCCACAGATACATCAAACAAAGGTTCGTTGTCGAAAGTGGGATCATGAATCAATCCAAGAAAGACTCTCACTGAATAGTGGCCATGAGGCACCCTCTCTATGTGATAGCAATTTTCAGGACCCGTAGACAAAGGAAAATAGCGAAGTGTACTAAGTGGAGGAGTGATATAACTTGGACGGGTTGCATTAGCACTAGGTATCCCACCACTATATCCAAAATCCCTGTACCAAAATGTATTTGTTGGTGGCGTGTGGACGTCCTTGCGAGCTCCACAGCTTATTCTCAGAGCATATGGTGCTGCATTCATTGAAAGCCAGATAGTAGAGATAAAAATCACAGACAAGACATTCAAATACATACTAAAGTATGTTCATTTGAAATTTAATTGGTTCAGCAAATAACAGAAATACAGAGTCACTTCAAATCTGTATACACCATAACTCAAAATAAAAAAATTGGGCAAACAGCTTCTAAAATCATAGCTATTTACTCTGCATATTGACAAAGTGTAATGTTCTTTCAACTTTCAACTATGAACATTTCTGCAACATCAAAGATGCTAAGAATAACAAATTATAGGACAGAAAGTGCTTGCTTGAAAAAGCAAGTGAACACTTGAAGGATATATCACCAATGAGACATCACATCCCATGGGAGCAAATATTGTCGGTGTGCACTCTTGTAATTTTGGGAATATTTGAAGGGGGAGTGAAGTAAGAATTGTGATTGTTATAATGTAATTAGGGGTAGAAGTCTGAAAGATTTGAAGCCCTTCTCCCACCATATCCACCCAGCTTCCAACTGTTGCAAGCAAAAGTAGCTTCCTTCAAAATTCGGTCATTTCTATTTACCAGAAGAAAAAATACATCCGTTAGATTTTTATTAAGAATTGTACTCAAGCCAAAAGCTTTCCCCTAACACCCAGATCCCACAAAGTCGGTTGAATCTCATAGTGCATATAAAGTCCACAGTTAATATCGTGTTTGCAGCCGAAATCACGGACAAAAGGGAAGGTCTCCGTTTCCTAATGAAAACAAGAATAACTTATACCAATTTGTTTGCTGCAAATGTTTAGTTAGAAGTTGAAACTACTCAAACTTTACAATCTCACATTTGATCACAATCTCACAAACTACGCATTAGTGATAAGTTCCCAATTCTTTGATTCACATTAGATACAACCAAAAGTAAGCATAAAAAACTAAGGAAATTATTCGACAACTCAAATTAGAAGGAAATATACTAATCTAGCAAAACAAACCCATAAACAAGGAGCAAAAACTTAGTGATTTGTCGCATAGAAAATCCAAATAAGAAGAATGTAAGTAAGAAAACCTTGGTAAGAAGGTGTGAAAGCTGCAAGGAAAACTAAAAGGAAGGTGAGCAGTGAGAGTGGTGTGAGCATCTTCGTCTCCAATCCTCCCACAATCTCTTTCCCTCACTAAACGTTTTCGCCCTTTCACACCCTTGAGGTTTCTGGAGAGAGAAAGACAGGGATGAGTGGGGAAGTCTTAGGACGTGACCCCAACACATAAATTAAGACTAAATTACATTTTACGTCCTTTAACGTTGTAGGTTTTAACGGAATCCGTCTCTAATTCTTTAATTTTAGATTTAGAATTTAGAGCATTTTCAATGCCTATACAGCTATACTATATTTTCTTTAAAATAAAATATTAAAAATCAAAATTTTTAAATAATAACATTCAACTTCAATAGTTACTTTACTATATCAATTATAATATTAATTACAGAATATTTGATAAAATCATATTTCTTTCTCTTAAATATTTATTTTCAATACCTCTATTAGTAAGAAAGTATTAAAATAATAATTTTTCTCTCTATTTAAAGATTATCTAAATTTAGAGATTTTTACAATCTCTATCTTTTTTTTTTTAGCATACAAGATGGTAGAGGTTCTCATGGTTAGATTGATCTGTTGAAAACATTTGAACAACTCAACCTAATGCTTCTAGTCTGAAAAATCTCAACCCAATCCAACCCAAATTATACAGGTTGATCGGGTTGATACTTTGGTACATCAAAATAATCTTCTAACTTTGAATATATTGTTTGCTCTACTAATAATTCATTTTTCATCATCAACCATTTTGTACAACTTATTCATACTTCTTAGATTTTAAGTATATTGTATTAAATAAATTTTCTCAATTTGCATATATATATATATATATATATATATTTTCACAGTTCTTGAACATATATATAAAGGAGTTATATAGAGATGAAGAATAAATTGAATATATATGTATATGAAAAAAGGGTAATTGATGGTGTAATTGACTAATGTACATATTAATAAGGACTAAATACTCATAATAAATACAAGAAATGAAGAGATATCATATTCATCGGGTTGGGTTGGGTTCAAATCAATGTAACCCAATATCTAACGTTTGAAGATTTTACAACTCGATTAGACATCAAGTTGCTTCGATTTGAGTTATTTCTCATTGAGTTGGGTTAGGTTGATTAGGTTTTTGAGCACCCCTACAAGATGGCATAGTTATTGGAGCAAAGAAACTGTTAAAATCTTTCTTTTCTTTCATTTTAGCATAGTTGTTGGAGATACGTTTATCCTTTCATGTTTACAAATTTTATTGGATTCTTACCTCTCACAAACGATTATTATAATTTCTTTTAAATCTAGTTATATAAGAGATATTTTGGGTTTTTTGTTTTCCTTTCAAAAAATAAAAAATTATGTATATTAATATCTATATATAGAGCCAGATTTGGTTAAGAACATTTTGTGGTGCGAAAAGGGGATCAACAATAGTATGCCACATCTACAGCACATTCATATGACATTTAGCAACAATGATATAACATCTATTATGAATGTTATAAAAAAATCACGTTAATATATTCATGATGAATCAAGACACGCGTCTCGCTCTCGTTGTCCAACATAAATCAGGTCGCAAATGTATTTTCTTATATATATATATATATATATATCTATACTACATATATAACCATTTAGATCACTGTCTTAAATACAAGTTACTAAGCATATGGTACAATGGTTTTATGCACCAAATTCAAAAATCTCTTAAAGACAAGTCATAAAGCATATGGTACAACCTTTTTATGCATGGACTTTAAGAGAGAAATGCAGAGCTTCTATTTTGGTTAAGGTCAAATATGCTTTTTATGTTCTCTTCTTTTCTACCTTCTTCCTCATGAATACTCTGCTCCAATCCCGTTCCCACCAAACCATTTTGGGTAAGTTGAAAAACCTTTCTCTATTTTCTTCTTTTCCAGCTTCTTCTTCATGAAATTTCCTGCGCCAAATCGAAAATAGTAAGGTCAGCATTAGATTTCTTCAATGGCTGCAAACCTTGCACAAATGGGAGGTTCCCAAGAAGTCTTCAGCGGTGCATATAACCAGGCTTTGGAGGTTTTGATTTCTACACAGCTTCTTCAAACCCCTAGCAATTTCTCTGAGGTAAGGTTTTGCTTTCTGAATTCTCTTTCATGATTTACATAGAAAATATTGTCCTAAACATGTTCTTGATTTACATAGAAAATCAGACTTGCATTCTTGCTCATCCTTGTTCTAAACATGTTACTGGAACTGGAAGTTATTTGTTGAAATGCATAATCCATTCTTTTACATTATGCTGTGTTATATGGGTGCTATCTTGATTTTAGGCATATAGTTGATGACTCGACCTCAATAGTTCTAGCATTTTACAGTATGGATTATGGAAGCTATATGCTTAGACTCTTTGCAAATGAATCAACAGTATTAAACAGCCCCATAAGAATGTGTGTGTGCATATGTATTTGTCAAGTTTTTTTCTTTCAAGATGCTATTCTGTTTTGGACTGTTTGGGACTGCATT